GGCGCACCGTATGTTCTTTCATCTTTATGAAATTAACATATGGGCAAGCAGGTTATTGCTCATTTATATTTATATGGGTAGTTAGCTTTAATTGAATGAGAGGAAAGTTCACTAAGTTTTCAAGTAGTTGTTGCATGTAATAAAGTCACGATGCGATACTTTAAAACATTTTTCACTATTAAGTATTTGAAATACTGGTACATTCATCGCCTTCTTGTTCAACTAAATATGCTTGGGCTGTGCGAAAAATATCTATGTTTATTTACCAAACTTAAAAAAGTGGAAAATATTGGCGAATAAAACTAAGCCAATTGTTTAAATTAATATTTCAATTTTTATAGATGTCCAAAGTTTTATTTTTCGGCTAAGACGAATGTTTAAATTTAATTTATCAAGTTTCAAAGTCAAAGTTTCAGTCAAAGTTTGTCCAATCAAAAAAAATTCATGTTTTGCCTAAATCTCAACACAGAAGTTTAGTTACTTTTTCAATTTTTAACATCCAGTTCAAACAGTTTAACATTTTAAAGTAAAAAATGTCGAACAAGGCTATTTAAAGGGCAAATGTTGCTATTTTATTAATGAAATTCCAACCAACTACTATACGAACGCACAAACATGACAAAAATTTCGGAAAGACTAATACACTTACAGACAAAATGGAAATGGAAAAAGACAAAATACTGAATCCCCTTTGCCTAACAAGAAAGGCAAAACATTCTCGTTTTCGTACCCCAACAGATACTTTACTAGAACACCTACAAACGCAACTGAACTAAGATCTGTTTGTTTTGTAAGCCAGGAATTTTTTCAATCACTGATTAGTTTATACCAGTGTTAGGAATAGGAATTAATTTTAGAATAAGCTAGGCTAAGACACATATGTACTACTCAAGGGCAGAAAGACCGATTGGGTCGATAGCGTTTTTCTATAGGAAATAAAGATTATTCATAACTGAAATCTCTTTCAACTTTCCTAAAATTTGACTTTCACAAAATTAATTCACTAAAATTACTACGATATATAACAATACAGTAATTTTTTATTTATATTTATTATTGTAATTGAATGGAAGGCTGCCCTGGCTGAAGGTCTACTACATGACCCCCCCTGACTTAAAAGCTGGATCCGCCCTTGACTCTAGCAGCTAGAAAAAAGTATCTCCATTACAGACAAAAGAAATTGTACTTGAAAATGAGAAAAATTTTTGTTACAACTGACGAAATTTTGGCTGCCTGAATTCTTAAATTGTCGTTTATATTAACATCTATATACTTTACTTACCTTACCTGTTTGGAAGATAGAATCGAATGAAGAGAGTGGGAACTATTACCTAAACAACCAAATATTTTTGCAAACCATAATATTTTTTACTTTTCACATCCAAACTGAAAATTATTAAGACGTGAGTTACTGGCGTTTTTCCGCTTCTTATTTGCTCTATACTAGAAGTGAACAAATTATCCACTAATATTTCGGCTAATTACCCCAATGATCGAGATTATTATTTGCATGAAAACCTGATAACCGTCTCAAGTATTTCCGGTGCAGGTGAAATTTCCAGGGTTTGAAACCTAAAAATTACGCTTCAAAGTACGTATGGAAACTGGTCGCGAAATTAAACCCTAGTTAAAAAAACTGCATCAAAAGAAACTTTTACTGAAAAAATACTCAATGTTTTCGTTGAACTGATTTGTTTTTTATTTGTTATTTCATAGCTTTTTTTATCGGATTCTTCGAATGCATGTGCATGTAGGACTAAGAGAAAATTTTAAAAGACGAATATTTGCATCTTAATCCAGTATAAGCTTTCCACATTTAAGCCAAAACACCTCTGTTGTCAAAACGCTAAGAAGAAATTATTTTCGTTAGAATTTTGAATTATTCTATGTCCTTTTACCATGTGGTACCACCGTCTATAGCAGCTAATATTCAAACTGATATAAAAACTTTAATATTTAGAAAATCGTACTACGATGAGCCGGGTCTTTTGAAAAATGTTCATTAAATAATTTCCATTGTTGAAGAACATGTGTATTAAGAAGGTGTTAGTTCTCAGCTCCCTTCAGGAGCTCTGCCTGAGAAGGATTATTTCGCACACCTCTCTACCTATTTAGGCGTTTCTGCCATATTTAAAACACATGTAGCGGTTCAAAAGAACAATAAAATTCTTTAAATTCACGAAGAATTGGGTAATAGAAATTCCATGCTGTAAAATCAGCCATGAGTTTATTACCGGGCACCTGGGTCCACACCATATGTTGCAGGCGACACAATGATGTATCTCATCTTTAGGGTACAGATTACCTGGACCCTAAAGCGAATCCTGGCAGTTGGCTTTTTAATTCCTTTTTCAAACAAATTCTTTACAATTTGGCAGCGGGTTCTAGTTGAACATCTCTATAGGGTGTTTAAATTTCAAAATTCCCCGTTTCAGGGGATAATTAAAACTTGTGATGTATTTGCAAATATACAGAGAAATAATTAAAAGAGGTTTGTTAATGCAAAGTAATTAGCATTGCTTGCGCAACTCTGGCTGAAATGTTTTTCTGCATCTACGGAATGTGCAGACAGTTACGTTTTTCATTGTTTTACCTTCAATTAACGTATGGAGAATTATCTTCAATAAAAAATAAATCAAGGTTGTACCGATGGCTGAATCGAAAAAAATAAGAAAGGCATTTTCAATCAATCAATTCAATAATTTTAAATAATTAGATCCTGGAAATATACATACCCAGAGACAGAATATGGACAATTTTCTCGAATAGGGCAGAGTTTACTTTTGGCAACAATAATCGTACACTTACAGAAGAAAAAAATATGAGTAGAAAAAGTGAAATATGATATTTAAAGCTTCGTGTTTTATTGGAAGTAGCTGACATAAAATATAGTGTAGGTACCTAATTACTTTGATTCAAAGTAATAAATTGGAAATTAATATTAAAATAACATTGTAATTGTTACTGCGTGTAATTACCAACTAGTAACTGGACAAAAAAGAGTTAGTATTATGTGAAAAAATATTGCATAGACTTCGATTGAAATTGCTTTCTAAACTATGTTGTTATGTTCTGCTTCTTCAAATTCTGGTGGAATTTTTAACAATTCTCCAGACTTTTTTTGTGCTACGCTTTACATTTAAAAAATCGAATTATTACATCAAGTGAGTGAATTAACCGAGAAGATTTGATTACAAAAAATTATTACTCCCAACGCAAATAACATCAGTGTTAGAGATAAATGTTGTACGGTTGAGGCGGATTCATGTTTTGAATTTTAAAAACAGAATACGTTTTGATATAGTTTGATTTGGTGTAAGTGTTGAGTGATCATGTTTTGATGAAGTATTTGTCATTTATACAGAAATAAAAGCACTTCGGAAATTCGTATTAGAAGACGGGAAGAAATGTAATATTTCGATGAGGAGTTCCCAACCAAGATCTTTTGAAAATCACTGTGAGAGTGGTTTTCAAAACCTCTAAGTTCATATAGCTGCTTGTCAAAATGTCGCGACAAGATGATGATATCGGACCTTTTTTTGGAAAAGGGCCTCTGCAGGGATCGTAGAGCCCTACCACAGGTTAATCCGACCCTGCCACTCCGCAAGAGACTAATTCTCATTCTTTAATGAATATGTTTTCTACAACATCTGGAATATCCGAACCAAAGCGCTTGAGGAAAATATTTTTTAAGGAGACGTTTTAAATAATTGTCCTAAAACCTTTTACCACTCACCAAACACTCCGAATGAAATTGAAACCAACACATAAAAATTATCTTAATATGATAAATAAATCAAAAAACCAAAATTGATTCCGGGCGATTTAATTTTCTTATTCTGATGATATTCTGATGTAATGCTATTAGTTTTATCATTACAGAAAGTGCTTTTTTCAAACACCTTAAGAGATATAGGAAAACCGAGCTGTACCGTCAACTATCAACTGCCTTATTTCCGAATTAGATAATATTGTTCTTCATAAGGCAAATAATTGCATAAGGAAGCTGGAACGGAAAAAAATTTATGGAGCACTGGTATTATTTTCAGGCTTTCTGTGTGGCTTACAATGTTGACTAACGATTTCAGGACAACTTGGATGTATATTTTGGAGCTTCGATCACAACTATTTTCCTCAAATCTGAAGCGGCAAAAATATTTAAAAATTCTTTTTGGGAATTAAGGGAATAAATTAACATTATTTCCAATAATAGTAAACTTAAATTATACAATTTCAAAACGAATATGTCACTTAAATTCAGGAGTCGACATATTCAATCAAGAGCTCATCCACAACACACATTTTAGTTTAAAAAAATTTCGACCCAATTTTAACCCAAACTAATGCGACTTGAAGCTAAGTATATTTTTAACAAAACTAACTAAATATAGTATTGCTATTAATTTCTCGTCGCTAAATTGATATGAGATTTGGAGGCTAAATTACATTATTAGTTAGCAGAAAGCTGTATTTTGTCATTTTAGCAAATAATTGAAACTTTAAACGACAGTTTTGTAACGTTTATATTGAAGCACAATAAGCTAAACACTTTGCATTTATTTTAATCCGAAATTCATTTCCACGCAATTATTGAACCCTAAAGATATTTCTTTATCGGGTCAATTTAAAGTAACTATCTGCGATATATGCACGAAAACCTTTTCCAGAGCAATAATAAACAGCCTGATTTTTTCCTGTCTTAATAAAATCGTTCAGTTTAAAAAATCTGTCAATATTACAAATTATTGACGTGAAATATTCCGATATGAAAAGGAGTATTGCCTCATAAAGGTTATTAAGATTTCATTATCAACATTTTCTTATGTTCAGTTAACCGCAGCCTAAGTATGTACACCGAATTAAAAAAATCCGCGGGTAGACGGCGGTAAAAGTCCAGGTTGGATAATTGAAACGTAATTCATACGACTCTATTTTTGTTTTATAGGCCATAAACATGACATACAACAGGGAATTTGAAACCAATAAATAAAACAACTGTGTATAGAACAAAAATGTATTAAGATAACTTTTAAATAACATTATTCACATGAGGAACAAATACAGCCGCTTCATTAGAAACAGAACAAATCTTTATAAGTACAGACTATAAATATACACAGGAATATATTACAAAACGTCTTTACTATTATTAAGTCTTTTAACTTGCCCAACGGTTAAGTAGTACTACAAAACTACAGGGAGATTCACACCACAAATTCTGACACTACGTCGCTAAACTGCTCCGAATTAAAAGTAAGGTAAAATAGCGGCTTTCGACTAAAATAGTAAAAAATATACTTTTAATTAAGAGCATTATGGTGTAGGTTTTTCCTTGGTATACCCTGACACATTGGCGCTGCAAAAAAAATTGACAAAAATTGTTTTTCCGGCAACGCCAACTACAAAAATGACTTAGTTTACATTACAGGAACATTGTTTCTTTGTTCATATTAAGTACAAAATACATACAATAGATTGTATGACCAACAACAGGAGTGACGGTTGCTCCGCTAAATCCAAACTTAAAGTCCACTGGCCAAAAATAAATACGCGAAAGCAAGATTTAGTGCAGCAACAATATAATATTCGCTCCAAGTTATTGATGACTAATGAGGGGCAGTCACAAAATCGGCTTGCTCTAAAAAGCAGAAACCTATAACACATCATTTGGCTTTAAAAAGATTTTCAAGCATTATTTTCTCAAGTGTGATAAATCTTAGCTTATTCATAATACTTAACGGCATATATTTATTGGCATGTTGTAACATTTTTATTTTTTTCAAAAAATTCACTATTGGTCCCAAAAGAATCACGCTTTTGATCTGTCAAACTTCAGTCAGTGACAAATTAAAAATGTTACACCAATATAATATCTTGAGGTAAAATGAGTCAAACATCCCATATTTCTGTTGAATTTTTGATGATATTACAATTTAGCACAAACCATGTCGGTTTCCTGCAAATGAAAACGACATGGTTTCGAAAGGCTTCCATTAGAGCATGAAACTGAGAAACATTCCACTTTTTCTAAAGAAAGCGTTTCTGAATTTTCGAACTAATTCGACTTATTTTGCCTTATATTCCAAATAAGTGGAATTATACTTCCATATAAAAATTGTATAGGACAGAATATTTTGTATTCATTTTATAAAATATTTTGTACATTCCCAAACATTCAAGAATATCGAAAGTAAGCCTGAAAACCATTTTTAAATCGGCGCTGAACTAAATTAGCTTATTTATATATACAAATAACTCACTAGCAACTAACCCCTCGGGTGAGTTAGCTCACTTAAATGCATCACAAGGGTACAATTAGAAAATTCTACCCGAAGGTACGCTGCGCAAAAGTAAGGCGACTCGCCATAGCCCAATCTTTGGTTTCCGGTTGATCCAAACGCTTAAGTTACTTTACAGGATTTTACAAGCTAGTATTTACACTATGGACAAATGAGCTTTGGATCGGCCGATGGGGAGCCACGGCAGAGCATCACAATCACGCAACGCCCGTCTTCGGCTAATGCCGAATTTTTCCGGATGAGTACCGCGAGAAAATAAATTTGAAATAATTTAAATTAGCTACAGTATCATAAATAAAGAAATAAGTAAACACATAGAAACATAAAAGAAGGGTAGAGAAAAGTTTTTGGTTTAGGACCTGCGGTGACTCAAAACCAGAACACAGCAGTCGTAGGGGGCGGAAGCTAAGCTAAAGCCTCCGTCTATCACACCTCGGTAGCAAATAAGCCACCAGACACGGGCACTCGAAAGTGTTCTTCTACCACAAACACAGGAGCGTCTTTAAGCGGTGGATCGCTATGCGACATCACTGATAGGCGCTTTATAGGTTCATAATCAGGCTCATGTAGTTTAGCCACTAATAGAGCTGAAGCTCGAGCGGCTGCTACTGCTGCGGACGTTGCTGTCGATGATGATTCTGTGTTCAACTGTTTTTGTGAACGACTTCGCTGCAGTCCATACACAGGTCGCCCATCAATCACTTGCTGCTGTTGCTTAGGGAAAGGTTCGAGATCTCCTACATTTGCTTCTTCTATGGCGTTGTTGGTACATTTCCCCCATGAATTCTTGATCATTCGTGCATCTGCAGCCATTGCTGCTCCTCGCTTGGCAAAACTGCTGTTTGCCGTATTTTGTTCATTTTGTAGTCGAGCTTCTTCATCTGCCCTTGCTTTTTCCCGTTTCCTGCGGTGTTTTAAGCAGGCTATAGCTCCTACAGCAATTAAAGCAAGCAGAGGGACAAATGTTGAAATAGTAGCGATTACTATAACGTGTTCTGCAGTCAAAGTGGATTCAGTGGATATTCGAGCACTGGACGCAGCACCTGCGCTTGATTCGACACAGTCTCTACCAAGAAATCCCACAGGGCAAATGCATTCATAGCCTCGGGGGCGACCAACGCAGGTTCCACCGTTTTTACATGGGTCTGATCGGCATTCATCTACTTCTATACTACAGTCCTTTCCACCAAACCCTGGGGGACACCGGCACTCATAATCATTAAGAAGTTGGTGGCAAGTGCCTCCGTTGGCACAAGGTTTTGCAATGCAATAGTCTACTCGATCTTGGCACAATCTCGAGGCAAATCCAGGTACACACTGACAACGGAATTCATTGACTTTGTCTATACACGTGCCACCATTTAGGCAAGGGTTGCCACCGGCACAATCGTCCACGTCGACTTGACAGCGATCGCCCACGAATCCAGCTGGACAAGCGCAACGGAAACCGTGTGGAGCACCGGTCGCTTCGGAACATACACCACCATTTTCGCAAGGGGTGGGATCACAGACACCCAAATGACGCTCACAGCTTGGTCCTGTAAATCCTGGACGGCACGTGCAGCGATAACCTCCACTCACATCCTGACAGCTTCCTCCATTATTACAGGGATTCCCAGAGCAACCAGGAGCTGTGGGAAGTGGAAGAGGAGTCTGGCAAATAGATCCTCCATATCCTGATGTACACTGGCAAACGAAAGTATCGCTGTTCTCCGACTTAAGGCAGGTGCCTCCGTGTAGGCAAGGAGTTCTGGCACAGTCATCTGTCGCTACTTCACAATCTGTTCCATTGTATCCAGGAGGGCAACTGCATGTGTAACTGCCTTCCCCGGTGTTGAAGCAAGTTCCACCATTGCGGCAAGGGAGGTGATTGGTGCAAAAGTTGAGGTCTTGGTTGCAAAAAAGGCCTCCCCATCCGTCATCGCATAAGCAATCCCAGGGTTTTACACATGAGCCATGCATGCATCCAGGGTAACGTTGACATTTATCACACAATGGACCTTCCCATCCGGACTGACACCTGAAACAAACATGTAAAAATTAGTTGCGAAATTATTTCTTGTTTAAAATATATTAGCGGAGGACGAAAAATTGATAAAAATTTGCGATTTGGTTATCAGGTCCGGGTTTGCAATTTTCATCGGCGGGCCGCCGACCCACAGGTAACCTTTCCTTGACCTGCATACTTGCCAACGGGCAGCGTGGGAAAAGGCTCCGTGGGCGTGCCCCCTCCCCGCGACTTGGGCTGCAACTCAATGAGCCGCCGCTTCTTAGCGCACGATTAGAATGGATAATGCGGATCGGCGATGGCCAGCCGGTGCTTGATTTCCGCGTAGAGTTGCATCTAAGATGCTTTAAATTAAGATGATCTTATTGATGGTCCAAAATGTTGACCTCAAATGCACATTTGATGTAACTTGAAGTTGAAGCGCTTTAACTTTGCGCAGTTATGACGAACAGTAAACTGGCAAAATAAGAGTGCAAAGTCTTGAATTAACTGGTGGAAAATCAGGGCAGTCTTTGCTTAACATAATTTAACATTTACAAGCAAGCAGAGATAAAAATACAAATAGTTCCCAGGTTCCCACAGATTTCTACAATTCCAATTTGCTCACAAATATGAATCATCAATGAAAGTAATGTCGGAATCCCACAATTATTGGTACTTGTAAACGTGAACTTTAACTACCTAGGATAAGCCAGCCGCAGAACAGATTATAGAGGATATCTTCCGTCCGATCGCTCATTTAATTATTGACCAATAATTAAAAATAATAACTATGCAGCGAATACTTACTTGCACTCGTTTGGTCGCGTACAATGACCATGTTGTTCATCGCATCCTGGTAAGCATTGCGCTGAAACAAAAGAAGGTGGTCTTAATACATCATATCGAGCTTAAAGGGTCAACCTGAACCATTTCAGCCTAGTACCATAAGAATCTTGATAACGTATAGGCAGTAGATCAAAGAATCGATTTTTTGAACAAACGTAAAACAGCTGAATGATTAAATGTCAAGCCGTGTTATTAATTCTCTGCGGGCTATTTTATGCGGAACACCCTGTAGACAGACAGGTATGCTGCGATCGTGGGAACCATTCGCCGGCTGAACGGCTGAATACTCGGCAGCAAGTGAAGCTCACGTCTTAGATCTCGCGGTCAATTTTTTCCTTACGATACAAAATTTACATTTTTTTGTGCCTTCTTTATATTTACTATAAATACACACGTCAATATTATTACACACGGACGTATTAAGTAATATTGTTAGAATAAAAAACTTTGCAAAATACAAAAGTATAATTTCCCCAGACTTACCTTTCGTGCAATAATCTCCAGTCCATCCGGCTAAACACACGCGTTCCCCTGAAGGGGAACAGCTGTAATGGCCAAAACTATCATCACGTGGACGGCACAGGTCTTCACAGCCTTTGCCATAGTAATGTGGTTCGCAAGTAACCCGATATTCAAATCTTAAGGTAGAATATTTGGAGCTGTGTGTGTCTTCTGTCCACTGTTCACTCACATCCAAATAGCGTTGTCGCATAAGTCTACTAACCAGAACTGGAAAAAAAAGTATTTTTGTATTACATGTACCTACATTTAATAAAGCATTAATTCAATGGGAAAGGTGATAATGGTGGTTCCCAAAATCTCGAGTAGCGCCTTGAACAAACAAAGCAATGCGCGAAGCTAATCTATATCCCAGAACAGATTTATATAAAAGGTGTTCGAGGTTTTCTTCAAACAAAATTCCGTCTTATATTTATTAAGATAATAAATTTTACAGTAAGAGATAATTCTGTTTTTATTTCTCATGGTTCCCATGTCCTAGACTGTATAATTTCAAGACAGAACTGTGTCAAAACGAACACCGTTATCTTAAGCTATAAAAATACATTGATTGTAACGCGTATGTCTTAAATTCGCAATACATTAACAATTTTTTATGGTCGCCAGGGTAAATCGATTTGCCTATACTTTTTTAACCCAAATATTACTGAGCTTTTTAAGGAATTATAAATTCCTTTGAAATATTATGTCGGCATTGAAACGTTAATCCGACCCATTCACAACTCTAACAAAGAACCCTTCACTATTCTCTTCATAAAAGGGTATTGATATCTAGTTAATCTAGAACATTTATCATTATCCTCAAAGAAATATCAAAGCATAATCGGGGAACAGCTGATTGATTATATGAAGAATAATACGACGATAAAAATTGTATGTTTCGTTTAAATTAAGGAAATTTTTATTCTTAAATAACTCCTCCAGTGGCTAAAACATCGGCGAACAAGACGAGAAAAGTGGTTTAAGAAGGAGAGCAAAATACACCTGCACCATATAGTAAAGCATCCTGTCCTGAGAACAGCTGTATCCGGTATGAAAAACAAAGAACACCTTTGCCCATTCCCAAGATTTTTACTCAGTCTCGTCAGATTCGTGACTTGATTAAACTGGCCCAAACTGTTTAATCTTTGTAAATAAAACAGCTAAAATATATTGCATCCACCGAAACAATTAATTCCCTATGTTTATCGTTATTAATTAGCTTTGCTAAAATGCTTTAAAAATAAATGCTTCTCCACTCGTTTAATTCAACAATTTTCATGGGATGTTTAATGTGACTGTCGAAAAGAACAGCCATACATTCTTGTTAAATTATTAAAACAATGGCAGGTATTTAAGCATCAATCACTAAAATAACTGATTAGATATTCAAGGATCTTCAATAAATGTTTTGGTCAGCTTTGTGAAGAACCGTCATTATTTTACATAAAAAGCTTCCGGGCAAATAAAATGTTGGAAAATGATGAAACTATTCCATAAAAAAACACAGTTTTGATCACCTGGCATTAATACAGCACAGAAGGGTTGCTCAAAGGAAGTACGAGATTGTATTCCACAAGTTGGGGAGAAAATAAAAAAGACAGGACATCCGGTGGCACACACACATCAACCTACTCTCTCAAGATGTGAACCAGAAGATTAGGTAACAAGTTGTATGAGGTATAATAGTAAGCGACTTACTTTGGTTGGTATTCATCTATAGCAGACAATCCAAGAAACGTATATATCAAAAAACCCGTACTTCCAAGACGAATAAATAAGCAATTTAAGTTTTGTTTTTTTAACAATTTTTGAAAACTAGCTTTTAAAGATGAAAATATTTCTTAACTTCGTTAAAAAAAATCTGTTGAACAGTAAGGTACCACATTTAAAGTAAAAATGAGGTACATAAAATGATAATTTTAGATTGAGTTCAGCACTGGAGAACATTAATTTACCGTTCGTAAAACATATTCGACTAAATAGATGCAAAATATGGACTAATAAAGATTAAAATTCAAAATTGATCTTTTGGAATAATTAAACTAATTTTACGTTAAATAGAAAGCATCATAAACATTTTAAATCGATGTTGGGTTTTAGGCCAAATGCCATTTAAATTCCAATCGGATGTGCAGAAATGCTGCAAGCAATATGAGGCTTAATAGATTATAAAAGCATCCGAGTTATACCAGTTATGTTAATTCACAAAGGCAAAAGTATCTTTCTACATAAAGATCGGGATCATTACCGAGATCTTAATGAAGTAGGTTCACACGTTATATTGCGATGGTTCATACGGAAAAATATATAACCGGCGTTTTAATAAAGTGAGTATTATAGTTAAATATGAGAAATTCATTATTCCTACCGGTTTTTAGAGATGACGTATAAGAAATAATTACTGTTTGAGAAGAAATGCTATTTAAAAACAACTTGACTTTCAAACTAAGTGTGCTCAACCATAAAAAAACACAATAGATGCCACACCATAATTTAAGATTTCTCGCAACATTGCTTATTATGGCACACGTAAGTACTTCTAAAAAACACATTAAGCTTTTTAGAAACTTTGCAATTTCCCTAGCATTCAGTTAATTATTTAGTCGATAGCATTATCATTTACAAAGACTCACTTTGGGGCGAACTTTTTATTTCAGTACGATGATATTATGCTTCTGAGAGTAAACAAATGAAAAACGTGCATTTTCCGCTCATTCGAACAAGAACAAAACGATAATTTTAAATATAATCCACGCGCTTCCCTGTACTACGCAAGCGCTTTCAAAGCGTACTCTAGGCTAGTTTCCTTGTGCCTGTTTAGCGTTTAGTTTTCAGTATCTTACGCGAGCATTTATTTACTGTTTCTTTCTTCGCATTAACGAAGATCTGTTAATTAAAGGAGGAAAACCTGTCTTGCTGGGCTTATTTACTTTAAAGATCTACCAGACACACACACACGCACACCATTCGATATTGTCTTCGAGAAAACTTTCCTTCCGTTCGAAATTATGATATTTACCACTTGAGGTTTTAATAGGTTCAGTTACTCTGTATGAGAATGTTGGGTGTTCTTGAATGGGTGCTTGATAGATGAATGAAACTGATTTTATACCTCCGATTATAATTTTAAAGTTTTGAAGCGCTGTTTTTCTGGCTCTCGATCTTCTAGAGATTTGAGATCTATTTGGACCTTTTAAAGAAGTCATGGAAGGTAGACAGAGGCCCATTTAATGGTCGAAATACCAAAAATAAACATATGGCACTTCGGTGCGGTTTAACGGGATAAAGAGATACTGTGAAGCATAAATAAAAAAGTTTAAGAAGTGACTAAGCTTCTAACAAATGGCTGAAAACGTCACTAAGTTAGGGTTATGACATTGTAATCGGTCAGAAGAGAGTTCGGGATATATTTATCATGTGCCGTCAACTGCATAACTGTTCGATAGTAAAAACGAGGGGAGGGGACCTCAGAGAACGGTTACCCTGTTCTGTAGCACCTGGTCGTTATGTAAACCCAAGCTAGGGCACACCATATCGCATTAAATTTCAGCAACTTTTCGTTTTCAATTTGAAGCATATATTGTTTGGCTTATGTGCCATTGGATAATCTAAGAGACAATCGCAGATATGTTTTTGTTTATTTTTTGTCGCGTGCCTCCGTAAAGCAAATATTAGTGCAGAGTCCATAAGATAAGAGTTTCATCAAAAAACATTCTTCGAAAGTTACATTGAAATTATTTCCCATTGCAACTGGGAGGGGAGTTTGCTGAAAAACATAGTACATGTATATACTTCTTAGAAGCATATTTTTAGAAATAGTGCGACTATGAACTGATTGAAACCACTTAATGTGTTTTTTCATTATACTACTAAATCCCGATCAAGTCGGTTTTTATGTCGGATAAACAAATGCGGTTTTCTCCCCTAGATTGTTTGCTTACACTCGAGCAAATGACAAAAAACAAAGGCAGTCAATTAAGTACGGAAATCTGAACTTGTCTATCTCACTGTATTGAAAAATATTACCGGAAGAACAACCTTTAACTTATCAGGAAGAGGGCTGAGCGTACAGCGAGAGCAGTTGACAGCTGTTATGCATGTGGCTCTATATCGTGCCACATATTTATTTAGTTTTACAACGCATACACCGAAGAAAGTCTCTTACGGTACTGGAATTGATAAAAACGCTTCCACGATTTGTATATTAACAGGCTTGGGCTGGAAACATCATAGACTATACTCAGACCTCCTGCACTTCATTTTCAACTTCCATCACACTGAAAGCAATCTTGCTCCCAGGAAATGATAATTACACGCATTTAAAAAGTGTGTAAAAATTAAAAGTCTGTGTTTGTTGATTTTGAAACGATTCACTGTTCCTCACAGGTAAAAAAGAACAGCGACATGCGATAGATTCAGCACCATTCAAAGGCAGGTGTGACGGAAAAAGTACGTATTCAATAGAGGGTACATATTCGATGGGGCAACAAACTCCAAGGGATATAAAATAAATCAACAGCTGACAGCAAATCCTAGCAAAACCTTCCAGCGCAACATATTTTAAAAACATTTTATTAAAAACTATTTATTAAGTGTCATAACAGACATCAGAAATGGAAAAGCACTAAGGCCTAATTTATTAAATATAGAGCAAAATTATGTACTGTGATTGAATTTGACGAATTTAGGAACTTCTATTACCTAGAACTAAGTGTGCGTTAGATAGAAAAATGCTCCCATAAGCGCTCTTATGCTGCAAGGAAGCTATAAAGCCACCGAATAACAACCGAACAAAAGTGTGGATTTTACAAAAGACCCGATTTATTTTCTTAACAAATACCCTAGCCATTGAAGATTTTCGTAAAATAGCGCTTACCTGCTGAATGGGCCGATTGGTTGCCATGCCAAGCTTCCACGATCAGCGAGAAGGTACCCTGCAAAATAAGAAAAAATATATTTATAAATGTGAAACCACTTTCACTATAAAGACGGGAAGATGCTACTTGTACATGCAATGTTGCGATCACCTGTTCTTTATTTCTCATGATTGAACAGATGATATGTTATTATAAAATGTATCGGAGATCCAGTTTGAAGAAAAAAAATCCATGGGAACAAACCTCGGTTGGGTATACTTAATGATTACCATAGTATTATAGTATTCGTATCAGTCAACGCATATAAGCTTAGCTAGGTCAAAGATAAGTTTTTGCTTTATTTTTTTCCCATTAAATATGATCCTGACTTACTGGTAAACGAACAAATTAGAAGGTCATTAGGGCACAGGAAGCTAACACCCAATGAACTATTTGGCAAAGTGCCACTTACTCTAATATACTCATTGGACTGTTTATTTGTCTAAACCGTAGACTTTCAATTGCGTGCAAGTAATATCAAACAATTCCCATTCAGTTACATTCACGCCTCTAATAAGCTTTTATTATGAAACATTTAATTGTATTTATACTAGCTTTCTCAGTAAGTAACTATCTCTTGAAATTTTTACAAAATTAACACAAACAGTTTTAGATAGGTAACAGAAAAATGCTTTTTCGGTGCCAATGGACAGCTTTTCCTACCGTTATTTTGTTTAATTGAGAGTCGCGATTAAAAGTTTTCCATTTTAAAATATTTGCAGGTAAAAAATACAATTTTTAAGTACCTAAAATTGAACGCAAAAATTTCCCGAAATCGAATTCAAAGCTTTTAAGTACTGGCTAAAATGTGACTAGTCCACTTTTGAGCAAACCAATTATAAGTTTGGACGCTTTGCCAGAAGCGTTGTAGCTGTGATTATTAGAAATAAAAAATTCAATTCAATTAAACAAAAATTACTCCCTGTAAATACAATACGATTACTTCCATAGGAATCGACACAATCTCCGACATTTGGGCAGATATTACATAATTATCATTTTAGAACTGGGCGGCCGTATTCGAGCTAAAAATATTGCGCAAATGAGGCATCACATAGCCAATTCAATTACATTTTCTGGGCAGGAATATTTAAACAGCGCGGTTTGTTAAATGTCAAATTCCATTAGTTCATAATTTTACTTTACTTCAGATCTAGCGAATATACTCTAGATACTTTCAGATACCTGCTGCCTGCTGTTTGCTTAAATCCTGTGAACTTTTGTTCTCATTGATCACAAACATAAACATGCACCTGTTCGTATGATAAAATATGCAAAGTAATTCAAATAGTTCAATCAGCACATTCGATTTGGATTTAAAAACTGAAAATGTTATGAAGAACTGAAAACTGTGCAGAATTTTTTTGACGGATGAAACTGTGCATTTTTTAATCAAAGTTAAAAAAGAATAAAAAATTCTGAAAACATTTATTTTAGTAAGAACTTAAATTATTCGATTATCAGTCAATTTTCGTTATGGTATAGATTTTAAAAGCTTGAACTCTCTACTGCACCACTCCAAAGCCACTGATTGTGAACAATTTTCTGAACGAAGACCTCAAAGCGCATTGCAAAATTACACTAAATATAAAAAAGTAAACAAAGTTAAGTTAATTGTTTAAAATCGTAATATTCTTATGTAGAATGTTGAAACAATAAATATCAATCATTGAAGCGTTAGTTAGGCTGTTGCACCAATAGCATGGAATCTATTCGAAAACGCGGAAATATCTTCTTCAAACCCACATACAGTTACGCTTTCCAACTTCATCGTTTTAGCGAAAATATATTAATTAAATTCTTTACAATGCAGCGGACCAATGAATACTGTTAGCTATGTTAAAAACGTGTGTGGATACATATCAGAAAATTGTTCAGAATGTTCCGCTACGAGCTCGTTCTTTTTTACCGTTCTTAAAAATTACAACATATACTAATAATGCGGAATTAATGGATTTTTAATTAACATTCCTTGGTTCCAACTTAAGCATATTGTATGAAAAACTGCTGCTGATAGATTTACAAATGTTATCAATAAACAATAATAAAATTCGAGACGATTTCTTATATGCGATTATGTGAGACAGATCAACACTCAAATACAAAAGGTATTATTCATAAAGCACCGACTAAAAATAATGACGTTTTTGAACAAGTAAATTAGTCATTGATGATAAGATTAAGGGGAAAATAACTGAAATGTGATATTTAGCAAACAGAGCAATATAAAAAACAGAAAATATTCTGGGAATTGTTCAATCAAAATTAGTGTAAAGCAAATCTTACAAATTTGATCAATAAATCTGGTTTTATTAATTTTAAATTTGTGAAGTGACAATGGGTGCAGTTCCCACGGTAGGGTACCTGGCTTTCGAGAGCCGGGACGGGTCTAAGATGCTTGAAAGTCTTTGAGCGGAAATTGTGGTACACTCCAGGCAGCAATTCTGCGTGCCACAACGATACATGGTTTGTATCATCCAAAGTCGCTGTCGAATAATTTATGAGGATCTCCGATTTGGTCGGATGTTTTAAGAATTCAAGCCGAATTTATAATGTTACAGTTATGAAATGCTTCGTTAGAAGCACAATTACCTAATACTAGCTCGAAGAATGGAATTAGTACATTAAAAATACGTACCGGCCAAGTAAATGGAAAGCGCATTGCAATAGCATTGGCAAATCCACTTTGAGGATCATCAGCAGGTCCGGGACCCAATTCAGAAGTGATGACATCGCCAAAAGTACAAGGAGAGGTGGCGTCAATTTTCACTTGATATTCTTTTAGACATATCCGGAAGCGCGGCCGGCAATCTCCTTCACATTCCAGACCTGACGGTCGTCCAGAACAACATTTACCCAAGTCATCTTTTCCAGCTTGGTTGTCGAAGGAGAGCAATCTCAACTCGAACACCCCCGAAGAAAGGGTCTGAAAAAAAATTCGTTTCCAGTATCTATTCTATAGTACTTGTTAACCCCATGCCTGCATATTTAATAGTGATTTTTTTTATTTGCCGCTCTACAAATGTTTGCCAAGATTGAGTATAAATAACTCCACTCTGTTCTACAGATGTGCTATCTAAATATGTATAATTGCGGTGACACTGACGTTCGAATGGGCCATATTTTTCTGGATATTGAGGCTTATATATCTAATAGCTGTTCAGTTTAATTTATATCTGATATTAAATCAGACAAAACATTATTACAAGTTTGTATGGGGAAGGCTAAAAAATGTGTCTGACGAGTAGCTTAAAAGGAAAAATTGATCACCGTCATTATATCTTCAGAACTAGGTAACAGCTTTGGTAGCCAAGGGCAATGAGTTTCAAACATGTCATATGGCATCGAAATGACTGCCTACGAGTAGTCATTTATAAAGACCTTATGCTTCAAAATTAACTTTTAGATATCGATGTCATATGGGCAAAATGGGCAAATGTCACGTTGGAGCGGCAATTAAGTTAACGGAATTCAATATGCCATGGGTATAAACAAGTATTCATTGTTAATTCAGATACTATTTATTCAATTCTTACATGACTCACTACTTAACTCCTAACTGAGGGATATTAGTGCAGTGTATGATAGATGATCACGGGCCAATAATTTTAAATTGTTACGAGAAAATAATATTTCTAAAGATAGAAAAAGTTAAGCAGACGCTTAAATCTTGCAACCAAAAAGTGAAATTCTTGAGCCGAAATTACATAAATAATTATCTCTGAGAACCATAAAGTGAAAGACTGAGATGGGAACCAATGAAAAGTTCATGCAAGAGAATCTTGTTAAAATGGCAGAAATATTTAATTACTTTCCAGTAAAGGAGTCAAATAATTGCAAAACTACAATTAAATTATTCATGCGGTTAAGTATAAGAAATAAAAGGTAACGTAAATAAACTAAAATGATACGCGGTAAAGTTTTTGTCGGATTTAATTAATGGTTCTGGTAAGTTTTAAACAATATTTGGGAAACTCCATAATAGATATTATGCGATTATTTAAAATGGTAAAATTGCACGTTATCGTGGGAAACAAGAGGATTTTTGAAATTGGCATTAGAGAAGAGAGAGTTTTTAGACACCAATAGAGAACATGGCAGAATGATCGAATGTAATCATGTTCCAAATTGTAATTTGTATCTTTTGGAAAATGTGAAAAAAGAAAGCGTGATGTGCTGAAGAATGCGCGGGATGAAAAATGACGGTTATCGGTTATGCTTCGAGCGCGTAAATTGTAGATAGAACCGTTGATTAAAACACATATGTTTAAGAGACAGTGACCAAGTATACAATATTTCACTGTCTGAAGTCGGTCAAATGGAACTGGAAAGAGTTCGGAGAATAGCCAGAAATATATTAACTAGACTATGAAAGTAAACAAGTCGACTTACCTGGAGGACTAGAGACAGGCCGAGGAAAGAGTAGAGTATCCAAAACATGATGAGAGTTGCAATTGATAGAGTAGTCCAAAAGAAGGACAATCAACAGCTTCCAGGTGCTGTTACCTCAAAGGTATTCTGCACCGCGCCATAGGCTGGGAAATAGAAAGAAAATCACTTTTCACAGTTCACTTGAACGACAATAATCACTGTAGAGAGCATTCACATAAGACACGGCACAGACAGGGATTGTTGGCAAAGGGGTGTTATCAAGCCGGGTAGATACGTAACCCCATATTATTATCGTAATCATACACTAAACACTGTGATAATTCACGTTCGTTATGCAGCAAGAGCGGCTTCGGATACGCGAAATGAGACTGTCAGACGAAGCAGCGCCCGTAACTTCCAAAGTATACCGACTGAGTGTGAGCGAAGTCGGCGAAGAGCGCTTAGTAGCGCAGTGCGACCGTGTGGTAGTGTCCGGGTGGTGGGGCGCTCTAAGGGGTACAAAGCCGGGTGCTTCCGCGGTACTGGAAAGCACTAAAAAAGTGCTACTCACTAGTGGCACCCGCACCCCGACCCCCTTCCGCGCGAATCACAATTACCCACTTAGCCGCTTGTGCTTTACAATTATCTCCATATCCGAAGACTCCCTGCCGATCTTTCGAAAATATTTCTCTTCTTCTGTGTGGTGTGATGTACGCTTTTGTCCCACTTAATTTTCCTACTGTTTTACACCTTTTAAGCAACATTTATTTCGCGAATCGTCTTCGAAATATATTTAATTTTCTTTTAATTGCTACTTTTATAACCTAATTTTTGAGGTTGTCCAGAAATTAATTTCGTTGTTTCAACTTCACACATAAGTTCACGCAAGTCTATAGAGGCTGTTTCTTAAGTACGCGACAATCTCTCGAATGCATACAGGGCAAGTCAAAATAATGCGGTTTGTTCATTATTTTTCTAGAAGAGACAATAAACTCAAAATTTACGAGTTCTAACTTTTCAACTACTTTATGCAGGTGGGTTATTCAGATTATACTAAACGGAAAAAAGTATAATTTTATGAAAAAATGCAGGAGCACTCGGAGTATATCTTTAATTTATTTTATAATCTACACGGTGTTGTAATGTTCACGAGTTTTTATTAAGGGTTATCCTACTTAAAGCTTACGGTTTCTGAGAGTTTTGGAGTTCTGCGAAAATGAACGCAAGTTTCAGTTATGAACACCCATTTCGAATTTCGAAATCAAATTCAACTTTACGACTACCAATAGAGGTGGTTGTGTGACAAACAAGTAAAAATTAGGCTAAGGAATTCAAGGAGTCTTAAAATTGAATTTAACAATTGCACGTATTGAATGGCAATAACTAGCTTATGACAGAAACCCCAAGGAAGATTTAATTGTCTATTATACCCTACGCCTAACTCTTTAGCTTTTCATAGAAATCGCAGTTTCAGGATTCATGGCATGGCGATATTATTAAATTTAATAATTTATTGAATCACCTATCGCATGTGCACAGGTCTAAAATATCAGTTAATTTATTAGAAATCGCTTCTATACAATCTTGTTGTGTTAGTAGTTTTTTACAAAACACACATAAAAGATTACTCTAAAGAAGAACAAATTGATATGAGCATCTCGCATGTACGCTGAAAGATTTCCAGGCAGAAGTCATCCGAATAAGCTCAATTCAAGCAAACCGGGAGTGTTGCATATGGAAAACCATTGGGAAGGAATTGTGCTTCCAGCGTCCAGAGAGAATTAAACAACATAATTGGAAAATGCAAAAAAACTTTTTTGATGAAGTTTTTGTTGTTTGACAAATGCATGTTTTACAATAATGGATATGCCAATGGGCGCAATTTTCAATTTTAATGGGATTCACAGCCGCACATTTTAGAACCATCCAAAATCAGCACAAGTGGTCAGTAAATGCGTGGGGCGAAATAATGAAAAATTAATTTAATCGGCCCCTATTTTTTCCAAAGAAAGCTTCCAATGCTATTAGAATATATTCCGTTAGACATTAGAGCAGCCATGTGGTTTCAAATGGATGGAGCCCCAGCATATTTTCATCGCGAGGTGCGGGCATTTTTAAATCTTGATTTTCAGCAGGGAAAAAGCGGGTATCAAAACTGGCCTCCGCGATTACCAAATTTGACTCCTCCGGATTTTTTAATGAAGATATACGGAACTGTGTGTATGGAATATAAGGCAGCCTCAATAACTCCAAAAAATATGAAGGAGAGAATCATAGAAGCTTTCCAAAGAATAAGCACTGCTATAAATGTTGCAGAAGTGTTTAAAAAGAGTGTATATTTATCTGTCGAATCGGAAGTTCGGTATTGCCGTTGTGATGTATGAACCAATAACAGTTTTGCTGGGTGTTTTTTTAAATTATAATTATCATTTTGTTTCTAATTTTATTTGAAAAAATATGCCATATTTAATGAGTCAATCCTGAAAATATGCGATTTTATTCTATTCATAAAGTACAGGGTGTTCCATTTAAACTAAACCACTTATTATCATTCAAAACCTGCAATTGTTTTAACACAATTTTGGGACACCTTGAATGCTTTAGTCAAGTTTCTATTAATTTGTCACACAACATTTTTACAAAACTCCAAATATCTCAGATACCCTAAGCTTTAACTAAGATAAACAGGGCATTCCATTTAGAAAAAATCAACTTTGGGTCGAATCTGGTAATTGGGTCCCGCTGTATATTAGATTTTTTTAAAATGAACCCTCGGCGATCATCCATTTATCAATAAAATGACATCATAAAATTAAGTAGTTCAGCAGCAATTTTCCGTGTTTATAGTTTCAATAACCAGGTATATTATAGTGATTGTTGGGCGAAATCTATTTGCAAAAAAAGTCATTTTCTGATTTATAAACCGATTTGAAAGCTTTTAAAAGAACCCAGGAACGGACTGGTCCCAGCCCATAATCAGTTTAAACATTATCAGGTGTCATTATTTAACTACAAATATTATTTGCTGAAACTGTGGAAAGTTTTACGTAAAAATCATATTCTTCATTTATATCGCTCAATTCCCCATAAATTATATTTGTAGTTGAAAACAATTGAAACCTCTATTAAAGTTTAATCTGATTATGTGCTTGGACCAGTCCGTTCCTGCTGTCTTTTAAAAGCTTTAGAATCGGCCTATAAATCAATGAAGATTCTTTGGAAATGCATTCCGCTAAAAATTCATTATAATAAACAAAGTCGTTGAAAAGTTACGACTGGAAACGTTAATTTTGTTTGGTAGGCGTTCAAAAAATTCATATGATCTAACCGTATTATTTTGACCTCCCCTGTGTGCTCTCGATCGATTATCACGTACTTAAATTACACTCTGTATACAGTTGCTAGTAAAAAAAATATACCGACCCTTGCTACCAACATAGCACCCAAAAAGCTCTTTATATGATAGATACTAATTAAGACCCCTGAAAACAGTATTTCTGAAACTCATTTTTATGTTTGAACAGGTCAGGAACTTGCCAGGGATAGACCAGTTTGTACACATTAGTGCTAATGTTTTTAACACTGCATAATGGCACTGACTATTTTTAGGTAGCTTGAGATTTAAGCAAGGAAAAGTTGCACTTGAAATTGGTGATATCAAACGCCAGGAAGAAAATCTTTTCCAGGACGGCCTAACTGCCCGAAAAACTTTTGTTTAGTGATATTAAACTACTAATTCAAACAAATTGATAATGTTTAATTATTGATAGAAGTGACTTTCGTATATTTTTTCAAAGTTGTTTGAACTCTGAATTTCTGTTAATTCTTTGTTTGCATATTTGCTTATGATTTTTTAAATGACAAAGCAATTTTTTGACTACCCTCTCTATTTTGTTTTGATTAAAAATGCTCTTATTTGATATACACATGACGCTAAAGTGATCCGTTTTTCAGATCGACCACAAAGTGGACACCTAAAAGTTGACCAAGAGCGGAGTTAAAGTTGTTCGGAGCATGAGATAATTCACACAAGAGCGTTCGTCAGGTTTGCCGTGATCTTTCAAATACGTCTACCACGATGCATAAAAATAAAAGTTAGACAAATGACATCCTTTCAAATTACAACATGTACAAGAATTAAGTGAAGACGACCCAGATCGAAGAGTACAGTTTTGTGAAGTGTTAATGAATATAAATTAGTATAATCCACTTCAATTTGAAAACATCCTTTGCTCCGACAAGGCAATATTTATATTGAATGGGGAAGTAAATCGTCAGAATTGTAGGTTGCAACAAGACGGAGCACTGCTACATTATTCGATCATTCTTTGCGAATATCTTAATCAGATGTTTCCGAATAGGTGGATTGGAAGACGTGGTACAATCGAGTGGCCGTTGAAGTTTCGAGATTTAACTCCACTGAATTTTATTTCTCTATCAGCATCTTTCGTATCATGCTTCGTTTCCGATGCAAATTTTTTTCTTAGTTATTTTATTATTCTAATTTAAATCAGCCATATTTCAAACAAGTATAGTAGTAACCTTACAAAGAACATTTACCATATATTTATAGGTATGTGAGTGTTAGTTTAAGTTTATAAAATTACAACTCAGAAATGTTCTAATTTCGTAATATTTTATTCAATAGTTGATTCAATGATTGATTGATACAAAAATATTTTTTTCTAGAAATTTCAGCACTGAATCTCAGCACTCTATTTGTTTTCGGGTGTACGTTTTTGAAGTAAGAATTTTTTGATTTGAAGACTTCTACCACCTTTAAAAAGTTAGTTCGTATATCTATGAGGCACCCTGTATATACGGAATCCTATTAAAATAAAAAGAAAAAATTCGAAGATTTCTATTAAATATTTCTCTTGGTCATGCTTCAAACTTTATTCGACATTATATATTTATGTATTCGATAAACCATCCGCAAAGTATTATGTTTTATACCTACCATATTTTTCTGCAATTTTTCAGAAACAAAGCAAGTAAAAGCTTGCTTTTTTTATTTATAGCGTGTGAAGTTTGTAAAAAAAGCAAACATGGTTTTCGCATGCATTTCTCGCAAACAAGTTCCTTTTAGTTTCAGAATAAATCGAATTTTTCGATTTCCTTATTCAGAATGGCAAAAAGTCGAAAATAATATTTACATAATTAAAAATGATATCAAAAGGTCCAAGTGTGGCACAGATTCACCAGTGATCAAGGCTTCAATTATCATCCATTTGTTACATAAAAACTTTTTAGTTCAATTCAAAAATAAAAAACCATATAAGTTTGTAAATCAAGTTGAATTTTTAAACGTTATATATATTTTTAAAATCTTCTATACGTTTAGTAGGCTAATATCTACCGAGAAATGAAGTTACACCTTGGTGAAATTTGGATTAATTATGGTATCTAAGAAAGTAAGCATTCAATTGGTAAAATAAGTATCCTGACAAAGAAGTTTTGTTTTTCCTTAAATAATCAGTTACAATAACTGCCGTTAGAAGAATTTACTGCTGTATTGTTTATGCCGAAGTGATAGATAGAATGGCTAGTTGCGATGGATGTTAACCAAACACAGAAATTATATGCAATCACTGAAATGTGTAGTAATGATGTGTATAAGCAGGACTATTTAGGAAATATTGAAACAACCGACATTAGCAGTGTAATTAGATGTGCTAGAAAAAGTTCCCCTTAATACGTATACGAACCTAGTTTCAATTTAATACAATTATAGGTCAGCTTTATAGGGCCATGTATTTTTGCTTATTGTTATTTACGGTTGATAGACATGAACATAGAAAATGGTATAATAATTGTTTTATTTAAATTCTTTTAGTCCTCAATTTTTAACTAAGCATCTACTGTTGAAATATTTAAGCAAACGTTTGACATTATTTAGCACTAAAAAGCGTGCTTAACTTGATACAGAATTAAAAATGTGCCCGTGCAATAAATAAACATACTTGCTAAATTTCTAGAGCACGCGATCAAATTACTAACCTTGTAACCAAAATTATTTATGAGCTTCTTTGAGAATTAACAAGACTTCCCAGAATTGATTTGCTATCGAAGCATTTTAAAGCCCTGATTTTTATTGGTAAGTAATAAGACGAGTAACTGACAAATTTAAATTAGAAAAGTGTACAACATTCGTACTTTTTGGTTGAGAGTCTGTTAAATAACAAAGTAAATTTCAAATAAAAAACTGCACTAAAATGTTCAAAGAGCACAAAAATGAGCAGGTATTTTAAAACATGCAAAAGTCTAGTGAAGTAAATTTTTAATTGTGTAATAAAATTGTGAAATATAAACTTGTAAAGATCTGTGTAAAAAAGGATGTGCATATAGAAAAACAAATTAACATTGTAATTAAGAATATATAAAATGCTCTTTTGCGCTGTTGAAATAACTAAAGCGTTTTTTCCACATTCAATTCCCAATAACGTGGCATGTTGGAAAGTAGTTATTTACCTATTACTTGAAACGCTTTCTGTAATTTTTCGCTTCGCTATTGGGGAACCTTTTAAAGCTACTTTTGCCAACTTCACGATATTTTTGAAAATGTTGAAAAGCTGAGCATTTTTCTGTTGCTGAAAAGTATGTACGGCACTTGAAATAACCAATAAAACAATTGTTTGAATATACCATATTAATGCAAATACTTTTAAACAGAAATACTGCTTTTAGGGCAACATAAAGTTTAAAATAAAAATATTATTTAATGGTCTTTGCTAAAGTGGCTACAGAAATAAAGTTAACTCTGTTATAAGAAGCTTATTAACGTGACAAAAAAAAACGAAAATTTCACAAGAACTGCCTATTTACCAGACTTCGCACTTTGAAAGACCAGAATTATTGAGGGTGCTTCCATATAAAGCAAGAGACCGTCAAGTGGAGACTTGAAATGTTCCAAAAGCAAATTGACATGAATTTATATTTATATTAACTTGTCTTAAAATTAAGTTGTTCAGCATAACTTGGCAACCTTTTCGATTGAAGCAGTGACATTGAACTGAACTATCACAGAGCAGAAAAAAATTGTAAATAAAAGCCAACAATAACTTTTACTAAAGGTTTACGGAGAAATAATTAGAGTTACATTTAATTCCCCAAGAACCTGCTTCAAATCCGGATTTCAAATGACTGAACTTTTGAACCACAAGATGCAAAAATAAATGGCATGAGAAAATATCACTGCAATGGCAATTTGTTACTTAACGACCTAACGCGGGTTGGAGAGACTCTCAAGATTAAACAATGGCTATTTAAAAGTATTCGCAATGTCCCCAAGAGCAGAATATCTGGACTGCGTAATTTAAATGAAAAGATAACTCCAACTTTACATTCTTTATTCAAAAAGACAAATTATTTAATACCTAAAAAACGTCAATAGTGTAAGACCGTTTAACAGTTTTCTTTCCAAATACACCTAACAAACCAGACGTGTCTTAATT